CTGACTGACTGACTGCAGCTGACTGCAGCTGACTGACTGACTGACTGGCTGACTCATCAATGGTTGAAAAAGTACTGGTTTTTGTAATGTATGAAAAATGTCTGACTAGGGAGATAAAGCGTTTTAAGAGACGGAATCGAGTGCACGAGTCTGATAACAACAAATTTCGAATACTGAATGTTTTGCGTTACAAAGGTTTCAGTTAGCAAAACAGCTAGCAACTGGTGAATTAACTGCACACATTGAGACAAAAGAATACTTTCTCTTAGTTGCGCAGTCCGTGTGCTATTGTAAGGTGGTCGGTGAGCAATAAACACACAGCCAACCGGATTAATAAGGATTAACGGAAGCTTATTTCTGTCAGGGATTTAAGGGGAACATTGACCGCGTGTGTTTGTGTGTTCTTCCTGCCTGTGGGTTTTTCGAACAATGGATTACAAACAGAAGTGGCACAACATCGGTGTGCCGGTGCGGCAGGGCGACCGCATTGTCTGCGATAATGTTTTCGGTTGACGGAGCAAGCAAGCAAGCAAGATTGATTGAATTCAGTCACTAATGTGATGTGACATAAGCTGGTTGATCGATCAGACGTAGTCGAGAGTTGGGTAAAATAAAGAAGTCTGGTGAAGGAGAGTTAAACCGGAGCCCGTCATTTATTGGTCTGCCCATGGAACTTAAATCAAACCCCTCAAATTAGTAATCATTTAATGGAGAAGCACGTGAACGCACATACTAAGCATCAACATTATCGACGACCTCGTGACCGGGGGGCTTAAAAGCTTCCGACTTTCCTTACCCACCTGACCCAACAAATCAGTCTATCCTTCACGCACCCTTTCTCTTCACCCCATCCCCCTTCACATCCTTTTTAAAATCGACATGCGTCACCATTCCCACAAGTCATACATTAATGGGTTTTGAATGAGTGTATGTCCTTTATGGTAACTTTTGAAAGGGTGGAATCAAACTAAAGAAATAGTTTGTCGGCAATTCAGAACAATAATGTCTGTTCATTAGTGCCACGTTTCGGTCTGTTTGTTCGAAAAAAAAAACACCTCTCGGATTGCTTTGATGTGTGTGTGTGCGTGTGTGTGTGTGTGTATGTGAGTAGGAAAATGATGGTTGGTGCATTTGAAGTATCGCAAATTGCGTCCCACATGCTGATACAATCACCAACTGCTTACTAACCAGCAGTTCCAATACATTATGTACAATGAAGAGACACGACCCGAAGAGGTGAGAAGCATTGTGCACAACTGTTTCAACCTCAAATGGTATCGTTAACATGGTGAATTCATCGACCCTATTTCATTCACTGATAAAAATTCACACCTCAGTTACTCAGTTTGCTGTTGTGTTTTGTTTTTCCTCCACTATTGAACCGGCGAGTTGTTTACTCTCGATTGGGACACAGTGGAACCATGTTTGGAGAAAGCTGATTGGATAGATAATGCTATTTCACGCGTTTTAACACTCTCGCTGGGTGGGGCTATTATGCATGCGTTTTTAAGGCTAAATCAGGCAACACACAGCTCGGGTTGTGATGGGAATACGTTTAGAAAATAGTATAATGTAATATAAGTATCGTTTTTTTATGCATTGAGTATACCAATGTACAGTCAGCGTTCAGGAAGAAGACAGCAAGCAAAATAGGCTAAACGAGTGGTAAAGGTCATCGAATTTTCACCCCGGGAGGACGTGTGTTCAAATCTCATCACAGCAAGACTTTCCGCTATTCCGTTGTTTGATTGGTTGCTTCCCCCTTCTTAAAAAATGTGTCGTTGCATATACAATAAAAGTAGGTGCAAATGAAAAGAACAAAATTGAGAAGATGAGTGACAGTGCTTTTGGTGGTAGTGATGAAGGCGGCAGCAATGGGATCTAAATTCTGGACTACAATGCCTTTATTTTTATGATCTTAACCACTTGACCACCGCCATAGTGATGATAAACCTTAGACCAGTGAGGTAATATTTAGATTGGCCGTTATGAGAAAGAACCAAAACTGTGCGTTTTGTTTTTTCTGGTCTCAGCTCACCGCAATTAATAATGTTTCACAACAATAACGGCAGAGGGGAGAATGACAGAAATGTGAAACGAGGACAGTCAAATTTGAACTTGATCTAAATGCACCAGTTAGGAGAACGGAATTATGAAAGTGAAACACCAAAATCGCCGATTGGGCGCCCCGTTTGAAAGCGTGGTCTGTGCAGATCACTGAACTGAGTAGTTAAACGGGTGACCTACGTGTATGCATACGGCTAACAGTCCAGTAGTATAAACGGATTCACAACCAACATGGAATGGTCAAAGTTAGGTGGTCACAGCAATAAAGTTGTGTAGGACAACAGAGTAAAACATGAAACATAAAAACCTTCATAATGTGTGATATCGATGACTGCGAAAAAGTAAATATCCTCAACGTTGGCGGTTAGAATGCGGGTAGGGGAACAAAACCAATCGAATGAGTCAACTGACGAGTAGCAGTCCTGCGTAATGTTCCATATCTCAGTCCGGGAAGGTTACAAATAGAAAGCGATTCAGTGAATTGCGCGGGACGACATCGACCGGGGTGAGTATGAATAAACTGGAGCGACAATTCAATATCCAAAGGGACTATTTCATGCCACTGCATTGATTTGGGGCAGAGAAGTGAGGAACTGACTCACATATGGATATTTTGGACCGTTCATGACTCTGGACATGTCTGTGTGGATATTAGAAAGGGGTGATGAACTCATGGTCAGATCATCAAACTGCTGATGTATTGGCCGAAAGTATTTAAGCTTGATATGTATCCACTGCATTGAATGATTCAAGTATCTCCCTAACCGCTGTGTCCGAAAGCATCAGCCTTATATCCGGTCGAACGAATAGAACGTGTGGACTTACATATATAATCGCGATTTTGTTATTTCAATTAAGAGTTGGTGACGGAGGACTACGGCAACTTGAAGGTTCCAACAAGTGGTTTTTGAGTGCACAAATGTGGGTTGCTCAGTAGAATCGCGATCGCTCCCGCGACCTCTGGCCTCTGCCATTTATAACGTAAGCAAGTCAGAATAATTCAGTTAAAACAATTCAGCGATTTATATGGGCACATTGCCCGCGGTTTCTCCGTTCCTAACCAATCCCCTGATTAGCTAATTAGGATGCAGATCTCAGATGTGATCGGCCAAAAGTCCGGTGGTTCGACATGTGTGGCCCAAAACAAAGGAGAAATTAACTGACCAATAGTTTCTTTAGTCCCACAGAACACACGGAGAACAACAGCTTGGCGAACAAGCTTGTTTTCAGTTATTTGCAATCATGCTATTACATAACATTAAATATGACTAACAACAAGAACAAAACAGAGAATGAGAGTTTCGAATCCTAATGATTCAGCTGTGGCTCCAATCATGCGTGCATCTGCTTGTGTGAAATTGATCGGTTTATAACGATAAAGTGATTGCACACGTGCTGGAGTGACTGAAGTGAGCCGGAGGAGATTAAGTGCTTGCACAAATTTCTTCTGGTAAATGCCAGATGAGGTCGTCTTTACCGTCAACCTGTCTGTATTCTGTAGTGGGCGCAATGGTTTAGAACAAACGATTGGGCACAACTCAGCAGGATGGCATGTCCATTTAAGAGGAATGGATATGTACATCAGTCTTTTCGCCACAGTGAGCACTTTCTGTTTCGTATTGGCTGTTTCAATGAAATTCGGTATCAGGCAATCCGGATATCCACTGGCTGTGAAGTAATCACTCCATTTGGTTAGTCCTTAGCTTTCTGTTCGTGGGTTAGATTCTTCCTGCACCACAACTTAGTTGATACAATCAGTTCCGCTAATAATCGGACTACTATTAATTACGCAATATAGTGTCTAATTCCATAACTAGTACTTCAGTCCTGCTTGTGTATTTGAATGGATTAGTTTGTTTACATTATTATCCGCTCTGGAGTAATTGGAGACCTTTTACACTTTATGAACATGGTGGATACGGTTTTGTTTAATTTGAGAACGCACCTTTGCCGGGTTTGGATTCATGGTACGATTCGGGAACAACGGGGTGTGGAGAGAGATTCCCGAGTACAGGTTCTCCCTCTTGGATCTCGTGGACATCAATTCACTGTAACTTATGCAGGCACGATTTTTGCGATTTGCGCGTCATCCTTCCGGTTGATTGAATGCCTACGCTGAGATGGGCATACGAACACTCAGGTATGTACTCACACTCACAGGGGTACATACATATACAAAATAGTGGCTGAACGAACACTCCACGGGGTTTGATTTCCGCCCCAGACTCACGATCCCTACCCGCTTCACAAAGCTCACTCCCATTGAACCGTTACATGCACACTGAAGGCATGAACGGAAGCAGTGTGTCTGTGTGTGTTCTCTTGAAAGGCGTGTGTACTTGCTTGTGCGCGCACATAGTAGACGCACACACACAATCGAACGGGTATTACACATACCCACGCACATACACACACAAACACACGCAAAACTTGAGTAACTATACGGCGCGTACTCACGATTCAAGTGCGAAAGGGAGGAGTGAAACGGGTAGCGGTAACAACAATTCGTTGTGCATACTTCCTCCCGATCGTCTCTGTGAGCGGGTGGGACAGACATAATGGGAGTGTGGATCTGCGGTGGCAGAAGAATGGACGAGAAACAGTATAGAATGCAGAACATAATGTTGAAATACGATAGGGGGTGGGGGTGGGGTGGGTGACGAAGTTGCAATATAGTCGGGGGAGGTATTGATCGCACCGGAGCGCTTCTGATTTCGCGTTTTGAACAGGGTCAGTCTGACAAGAGAGAGAGCGTTATCGAGTAATGGAATACGAGTGATTTCTCATTGTCCCAGCAAAACTAACATCGATCTCCTAATAGCAATATAATCATGCGATGGGGAAAAATCCTTTCCTTGATCCATTAACCAAGAGCTACGATGCAAAGGGATAACTGTTGACATTCCAAAATATTAGCAACCAGAGTGGGATTAGTTAGGACAGTAAGATGTTTCTATTTCTCGTCGCAGAATTATCAATTTCATCAGTTACAAAGATAGGAGGGAATAAAAATCCTGCATAGAAGCACTTAGCTAAATGAAGAAAATATCAACTTCCTTGATCCCTGCCTTTCGAATGGTTAGATATAACTGTTACTTTGAGGTACCTTAAAAGATTGTTCATAGGCTTGTTTGTCAAGAAGTGTGGGCAATTACGGACACCTTTCCGTGCTACATCCCGCTACATCTCCGAGGTACTTGGAATGTGGCTACACTTTGACCTCGACCTGCAGCTTTTGCACCCCTATTGCCATTTTTTTAATATTCTTACTTCTTTTTACTGGATAGACAAATATACAGTCAGTTTTCAGGGAGAGGAAAGCGGCTTGGCAAATCGCTTCAGTAGGGTACACATGAGAGGAAAGATCAAGCGACTGTGAAGCAATTCGAAGACTAACATCTAAAACAATCTGATCGTGACGCGCACGGTTTGACAC